TCTGCTCACACATACGTGCTCGCTGGCACTACTCCTCCTCCTCCTGTTATTAATATAAAGCCCAAATTTTTAAATTGGTTTTGGTTTTAAATATAAAACTCATTTTTCATATTTATTAATTTTTTTTAAATTATCCTTATGGATATTCTGTCAACCATAATCAAGTAGAAGAAAGAGAATGTATTAAGAAAGATGATTATAGTGTTTTAGGAAAAATGTGTCACTTTTCTTATAATTAACTAACTTACCTAACTTCTTTGATATAATCAAATTAGTTAAATGGGTCTTATATTAAGTACCGGAGGAGTATCATTTAACGTCTCTTCTTTTTTCATATTCTTATTCTTTCCCTCGAGTAGTAGGATCCTCTATTATTGGTAGTTGTATTGTTAGTTCTGATAATATATACATATGATGCACACAAATTGTAAATAATGTAAATGCCGATCAAGTAATAAAGAATAAATATAATATTATTTTCACGAAGAATTTGACAAAATAATTTTTAGGCACTAAAATTCCTATTTTCAATTAAATTAAGCAAGTTGAATTATGATTGATTAGCTATAGAGAATTAAAAGTAAAAATAGAAAAATTCGATATTAAAAGCAACCTGTAGTCACTAATCTTTTACTAATTTTATAGACTTTTTGCTTTTATTTAACTAAATATTCTCAATATTAATTTAATTAATCTGGAGTATTTATAACTACAGATGTCTTTCGATCTACTTATAACCCTCTTTTAAGTTAATAAGATTATATCTAACTCAAATACTTAAGAAGATAATTAAATCATATTTACTCTTTATCAATTATATGAGGCTCCTATGTATAGTTCTATCATACTCATAAATTAGATAAAAATCTAATTTGATATTACTGAATCCTAGAACCTAATTAAAATTTCCTTTGTCAAAACTAATCTCAATGCTCAAACTCATATTTAATGATGACCAAACATTAAATAGATAAGTCAAAATAAAATTAAGTAACCAAAATCAATATTAAGTATAATTAATTAAATGAAAACAGGATCTAATCCATAAGTAACTTCATAGCTCCTCTATGTTTTAAAAAAAAAAAAAAAAAACTAGCCACACATGGAAAACTGCTTTTGTTAAAACCAATTTCTCATCTCTCAAAAAAAGGACAGGTTGCGGTTCCATTAGAGAAGAAAGCAACCCACAGAAAACTGCTTCAGGTCCTTACTGCTGTCACAAGGGATCAAAATCGTCACTATTGATCACTCTCAGCCGCCAAGAATCACGCACAAAGCTCGCCACACTCCTTGCTCTTCGATCTCTGCTCGTTCCTCTCGTCTTCGCCCTCAACAGTGCTCTAAATAGGGCCAAGATGAAGAGGCGCGTGTTGCCCCTTTATTTCACATCTTTTAATCCTCAATTCCATGTATTGGGCCGCCTGCGTCACTGAATCTTCACAGGTCCATATTTCTTCTATGGACCTTTTCATTTCGGGAAATTCGATGAGTTCGACCAAAACGGAGAAAAGACAGCTTGGAATTTGGACCTTTTTTATCCAGGAATGCTGCTCTTGGTCCCTTCATTAAGACGGGCCAATCTTACCCGCAGGGATTATACTTTCACAACATGAATCTCGCTATCAGAGATACTGACGCCAAGGGAGTGTTTGGCTATGACCAAAAACATTTTTTAAAAATTTTTTTTATAAAACAAAATAAATTTTTTATATATTTATTTTATAAACAGTAAAAATATTTTTAAAATTATAATTTGATTTCTATTCAAATACTCCATCAATTGAACAACGCAAGAATGTGAAATTGCTTTCTGTTACTTTTTGTTAAAAAAAAAAAAAAAAAGACGGGACAACCTTCGACGGCGTTGTAGAAAAGCCATATCCTTGGTCAACGGCTGCATTCACTCACCTGAGATCTAGAATTTCAACAGATAAACCCCCACCCTTTCCTAGTTGCCGTGAGCCTTTGACCATGTCCATGGAGCTTCCACTGTCCTTGAAGGGGCATGTGGTGGCCCTGCCTTTCCCCACCAGGGGCCACGTCAACCCCTTGATCAACCTCTGCAAATTTCTCGCTTCAAGACGGCCCTGTGATGCTATCATCACCTTCGTCGTCACCCAGGAGTGGCTTGGCTTCATCCAATCCTGCCCTAAGCCCCACACTATCCGCTTCGCCACCATCCCCAACGTCATCCCCTTGGACGCCCAAATCCTCGACGATGTTCCTTCTTTCACCGAAGCCGTCGCCACCAAGATGAGACCTGCGTTCGAGCAGCTTCTCGATCAGCTTCAGCCGCCGGTTACTGCTATTGTCTCTGATGCTGAGTTGGCATGGCCAGCCGCCGTGGCAAACCTTAGGAATATTCCGGTTGCTCTGTTGTGGACCATGTCGGCGTCGTTCTTCGAAACTTTCCGTCTGCTGGATATCTTGGCCCCCACACCTGACCGTCTTTTGTCGGTTCATCTTTTGGGTAATGTATCCTAACCTGCCTACACCTTGCTAGTTTTATTAGAAGTTACAGTATTGTTTTTAACACAAATCGTTATTGTCGCCATCAATTGTTATATCCTGTGACGTTCGATTTTTCACCTGAACAGTAGTTTAGGAATATTGAGGCTCTTGACTTCATCGATAACGAGTTATTGGTTCAGATGAGCGAGCTCAGCACATTAAGGTACTTCTCCCTCACAGCTCACTGATCTGCAAAAGCTACTTCGTGAAAGCGATCTCCATTTTTTGAAGATTGCCCTGAATTTCACACCAGGATTGGGCAAAACTGATTGTCTCCTCCTCAATACCATCCAAGAGCTAGAGGCCGAACGAATAAATTATCTAAAAGCTATACTCCCCTTTCGTCTCTATCCCATAGGCCCTGCCATACCTTTTATGGAACTCGATTCATCCGCCAGTAACGTTGACCATATAACAAATGGCTAGATTGTCAGCCAAATTTGTCAGTACTGTACATTTCTAAGGGTAGTTCGTTTTCCATGTCTCGTCCGCAGATGGAAGAGCTTGCTTCAGCTCTGAAAACCTGTGAGATTCGTTTTCTGTGGGTGGGTCGTTCAGATGCAGAGTGGCTGAAAGAGAAATGTGGAGATAATGGTCTGGTGGTGCCGTGGTGTGACCAGTTAAAGGTGTTGTGCCATGCTTCCATTGCGGGATTTTGGAGCCATTGTGGGTGGAATTCCATTCTGGAAGGCGAAGCATGCTTCGCAGGCGTGCCAATACTGGGATTCCCTGTGTTTTTGGATCAGTTCTCGAACTGCAGGCATATTGCAGAAGTTTGGAAGAATGGGAGGAAGGTTGGTGGTGATAGATCAGAGGATTTGGTAACTGAAGAAGAAATATTGAAAGTGGGTAAGATGGTGGGGGATGTGGAGAACGAGGAATGGAAGAAGATTAGAGAGAAAGCAAAAGAGCTGAAGGCGTTTTTCCGCGGAGCGATTGCCAAAGGAGGTTCGTCTGACATGAATGTGAACGCCTTTGTAGAAGACATACTAGGCGTCGAGGGATAAAGATGTGTATTTTGGTGTCTTAATTATCTTGTTTCTTGTATAAAATTGCATTTTTGGTTGATGTTCATGTCAACTAGGAATATTAGTCTTGATATAAAAATTGCTACCGGAAAGCAGCTGCGAGAAAGTCTCATCGGGGACTTAGTTTATTAGAGCTTTTATCTATAAACGAATGCAAATCAATGATGAAAAATGGTTACCTAAAAAGGGCATTAAAAAGCTTGGTATCTGTACGTGGATATCAATCCATTTGAAGTTCAGGCCCAAAAAAAATCCATTTGAAATTTGATTTTAGTCATCTATGAAACTTGTAAATCTAGAATTTGATCGTTGTTTAATTCTACATATACAGGCAAAATTTGCTGGTAAACTATTTTATATATCCCAATATATTGTAGAAAAGCTTTTAAACTTTTAACAGAACAAATGAACAATTGAGATTAAATATGCATTTGCGTTAGATATTGATCTTATAACATTACTTCTTACGTCAACGTTTGTGTTTTTTTAATTTTATATTTCTGCATAGTTGCTGCACATGCTTATCATAATTACATTTGTGTAAATTAGGACAAGATTTATCTCCCATATTTATTCTGTAGCTGTAAATTATGATTAAAAAAATTATTTTTAAAGTCTTGAATGACCATTCCAAACAAGATTCCCAGTCTTTACCAATACATAAGCAAGTTTCTTAAATTCCTTTATTATTACTATCAGTTGTATGTCTTTTTTTTTTGTTCCTATTCTTATTCTTTCCCTTGAGTCGTAAAATCTTCTATTATTTGTAGTTGTCCTATAATATAAAAAACATTGGGTGAATTCGCAAGGAAAAGAGGAGGTTAATGAACGTGCAGTTATTTATAAAAAAAAAAAAATGCTTTGAAGTGTTGAAAAAAGTCATTTCTATTATTACTAAAATTATCTGAGACTTTTATTTTTTAAAAAAATATCTGAGACTTAAATTCAGTTGTACTTAGATTCAGTTGTTGTTTAGATGTTTGTAACATCTCGTGAACTTTTTTATGAATGGACTCGTAGTCTGCGCTGCTATCAACTATTTGTCTATGGTATGCTTCTCCGTTTTAATGAAATATAATCCACTATTTCATTTTTTTAAAAATATGCAAACACATCATTAACAACAATAACAATTCTATTCATGTTATTAGATATTTATTGCTCCCAACATCTGCCATGTGCTCTTGACAATGTGAATTTAACTTAAACACGAAAACCTTAATGATAAATACCCATTCCATCCCACGACTTTCCAATGCTTATTAGTCTCCTAACTACTTCTTCAACCTGTCTTATCAGCTCTTAACAAGGATGTTGAGAACTTCTCATACACATTGTTCTGTACAGTTTAATTAATACATAAATTCTTCGTAGTCTAGTCAAATTACTCACTAGTGCATACATGACACGCTTTGGCGTTGTTATGAAGCAGAGCACGTGCCTGGACTTTCCTCAGCTCTTATGGCAGATCTACGAACAGTACTTCATGAAAACGACAAAAGAGTTCTTCAGCTTGCATTGGCCTGTGTATCAAGAGTTCCCAAAGCAAGTTATCTTCTGCTCACCACACTACAAGAGCTAGAACCTGAAACAATTGATTATCTGAAGGCTACATTTTCCTTCCCAGTCTGCCCTGTTGGCCCCACTATACCATACTTGGAACTTAAATCTGGTCCTAATGACAACCTTGAGCATCTAAAATGGCTGGATTCTCAGCCACCTGAAGCGGTACTATACATTTCTCTGGGTAGTTTCCTCTCTGTTTCTAGCCCGCAAATGGACGAAATTGTTTCAGCACTGAACACAAGTGGCGTTCCATTCTTCCGGGTGGCTCGTGGAGTAGCTTCAAGGTTACAGGAGAAATGTGGTGATAAGGGCGTGGTGGTTCCTTGGTGTGACCAATTGAAAGTGTTGTCTCATTCTTCCATAGGTGGGTTTTGGAGCCACTGTGGATGGAACTCCATTCTTGAAGCCCTGTTTGCTGGCGTGCCGCTTCTGACATTTCCTGTGTTTCTGGATCAGGTTCCGAACGGAAGTCAAATAGTGAATGAGTGGAAGAATGGGTGGAAAATAGAGAGATCAGAGTCAGAGATTGGCGAAGTAATTGTGAAAAAAGAAGAAATATCAGAGCTGTTGAGGAGGTTTATGGATCTTGAGGGTGGAGAAAGGAAGCGAATCAGGGACCGAGCAAGAGAGCCAAGGAGTCTCTGTGTCCAGGCCATTTCAGAAGGCGGGTCATCTGATGGGAACCTCGATGCATTTTTACAAGATATTGCTAAGTGATCCTTTGACCAAGCAGTGACCATTTCTTAAGAGACGTAGCACCAATTAATCTTGGCTATTTTAGGGCTTGAAATAAATCATGTTTTGGGATTTTTCTTTTTATTTTTCATTTTGAGATGGTATCATGATATCATCCATATGTATTCCAGATCGATCTCTTTTGACCAATGAGTTAATTATTACCTAACAATGTAACAAACGCATTAATTTTCTAATACTGTATATGTAATTTTGCACACCTGCATAAAAAAAAAACGATGGTCAACGACAATTTTCTTAAAAAATAAGTTAATACAATTTTTATTCCCTACACATAATTCTTTAAGAAACAAAATGTTTTAGGTTTTTGATGAATGATAGGTATCAATGTTTTAGAAAAACAGGACGAAAGACAAAAACAAAAAAAAAAAAAACAAAATAAAGCAAAGGGCGCTATATTGTATATTTAATTCTGCACACCTGCATTAAAAAAACGGTGGTCAACGACAATTTTCTATAAAAAAAAAAAGAGTTAATACAATTGTTATTCCCTACACATAATTCTTTAAGAAACAAAATGTCTTAGTTTTTTATGAATGATAGGTATCAATGTTATAGAAAAACAGAATGAAAGAAACCAAAAAAGAAAACAAAATAAAGCAAAGGACGCTATTGATGGTGCTCCATGTGAACCTGGGTCCGTCCCGGCTCAATGATTTCGTGGAAACACCGTGTTCTTGGTCAACCTCTGCCTTTTGTATTTATTGGTTCATCGCCGTCCCCGAACTGAACTAGTTCTTGTGGATATGTCCATGGAAGCTCCGCCGTGCTTCAAGGGGCATGTGGTGGCCCTGCCTTTCCCCACCACAGGCCACGTCAACCCCATGATGAATCTCTGCAAATTTCTCGCTTCAAGAACCGCCGATGTTTTCATAACCTTCGTCGTCACTGAAGAGTGGCTCCGCGGCATCGAATCTTACCCCAAGCCACACACTATTCGCTTCGCCACCATCCCCAACGTTGTCCCTTCGGAGAGCAAGATACTCGACGATATGCTTCTCTTCTCTCGATCAATCATGACAGGGATGAGGGCCGCATTTGAGCAGCTACTCGATCGACTTGAGCCGCCGCCGACTGTCCTCCTCTCTGATGTTGAATTGAAGTGGCCGACCGCCGTGGCAAGCCAGAGGGATATTCCGGTGGCTTTGTTATGGACTATGTCGGCATCGTTCTTCTGCACGTACCGTCAGCTGGATATCTTGGCCCCCGCCCCTGACCGGCGTCTGACCGTTGATCTTTTGGGTAATGTATATTCTACACGGCACTTGTTTCATTAAAAATAAGCATGTTATTGTCATCGAGAATTATTATCATTATTACTATTATATTTTGGGTCTGTGATATTTAGTTAAGCAATAGCTCGGGACTTGAAGCTTTTGATTTGATCGATAACGAGTTAGTGATGCAGATGAGCAAGCTGATTATATTCAGGGAACCGCTTCCTCACAACCCATTCATCTTCGAAAGCTCGTTCACGAAAGGGATCTGGAACTTTTTAAGAGGGCCTTGGATTGCATGCCAGCGGCAGCCAAAACAGATTATCTCCTCATCAATACGATCCAAGAGCTGGAAGCTGAACAGATAAATTATCTCAAAGCTAAATTCAACTTTCGTGTCTATCCTATTGGCCCTGCCATACCCTTTACAGAACTCGGATCACCGAGTGATTCATCGGCGACAGCGACCGAGCTTGACCATATTTTAAAGTGGTTAGATTCTCAGCCAAATATGTCAGTATTGTACATCTCTATGGGTAGTCTGTTTTCAATGTCTCGCCCCCAGGCGGAAGAACTTGCTTCCGCTTTAAAAACCAGTGGCGTCCGTTTTCTGTGGGCGTGTCGTTCAGATGCAGAGTGGCTGAAAGAGAAATGTGGGGATAAGGGTTTGGTGGTGCCATGGTGTGACCAGTTGAAGGTGTTGTGGCACAGTTCTATAGCGGCCTTTTGGAGCCATGGTGGATGGAATTCAACTGTGGAAGCTTGCTTTGCTGGTGTGCCAATTCTGGGATTTCCATTTTTTCTGGATCAGTTCTCGAATTGCAGGCAAATCGTGGAAGGATGGAAGAATGGGTGGAAGGTGAGTGATGAGATATCAGAGGAATATTTGAGGAAAGAAAAGATACTGGAATTGATTAAGATGATGATGGACGTGGAAAGTGAAGAGGGGAAGGAAATAAGAGACAAGGCAAGACAAGTTAAGATCCTTTGTGGGCGATCCACTGCCAAAGGTGGTTCCCTTGAGAAGAACCTGTATGCTTTTGTGGAAGACATTGTGGGGGGCTCCCCTGCCTCCGTTCGTGCTAACCACTGGCCCACTTCTTAATTAATTCTTACGCTTAGCGTCTTCTCGTCTAATCATTTAATAAATGTTGCGAAATGGGAAAATCAATGAGAAAAACGTACGATATGGATATGTCTGGCAAATGGCATGAAGATTTGTATTATTGCTGTCTCTTTGTAATCCAATATCTTATACATGCATTTGGCCCAAAACATATACATACGCTGTGTCTGCAACTGCATTTTTAGTGAGAGGCTGAGTATTGTGAAGTATATAGAGGCTTCACCACTTTAACGGATTATCGTAATGTTAGCTAACTAAAAGTGACACAACCAGCTCACATTTACTACTTACTGTTCATATGGTTCAGTGATCTCACTATTGGAAGAAAACGAAGCAGTAAGCACCGAAAAATGACCTGGAAATTCTCGTGCGCGATAGCTTATACGAGTATTAATTTAGAGGGAAATTTATATGGTGAACTTTGTTTATAAATAAATGAATGCGAAATTATTATTGATGAGACTGAAAAATTATAACCTGAGACGAGGAGTACAATGGAATGTTCGCCGCTTGTACCTCTCGGTCAAATCAAAGGGGTCGTCCAATCTATTTGGCTCCGCGAAAGATTGGGATTAGTCCAGTCATAATATCAAGGCAATGGCAAGAAAGAAAAAAATATAATACTTAATAAAAAATTTAGTTAACTATTTTTAAAAATTAGTTAAATTAGTTATTTATAATTAATATGTATTTTTTAAAATATTTTTACTAATAATATGCATTAATTAAAATTACGATTTGATAGAATCTTTAACATATACAATTACTATATGATGAACTACTTTTTTGAAAAATAAATATAAAAAAAAGTGAATTAGGATCTTATATTTAGAACCAAATTAAAAATCAAATTAGCTCTTAAATTAAGGACATGAGGTAATATTATTTAAATTGCAATTTTAGCCACATTAGTTATCAACTCAATATTATCGGCTCCGTTAAGCATATATTTTCTTTAAAAAAATATATATGTTTGATCAATATTCGAAGTCAAGACTTGATGTGGTCATGACGCGCCAGACTATTTTATGTATGCATTTAAGTCATGTTTGAAAAAATGGGTACATCAAAGTTTTTTTTTTCAGTTGTAATTTTTGTGGTGAAAAAATTGGACAAGTTAGATAATAAAGTTATAAATTTTTGTTTAATTATGTTTAATATTTATATAAATTTAATAAAGTTATTAAGCAAGATTTCTTAGCTAATAACTTATATGGAAAATTTTAGTTACGTTATTGATAAGCTACAATAATACTGTGAGATTACGACATTCCACTTCACTTAATGAAATGAGATTTATTGGGGGTACAATATCCTTAAAAAATCAGATACTTTTAAAATGAATGGTGGTCAGCTGGTTATTGAAACTTTAAAAAGATGCTTCTTACCCAATAACAAAAATTGACTGTAATCTTTTATGTGTCACAATTGGAAATCAATATCTTCAATGGAAACAAAGTCAATATAAACATATATAAATAATGTTCTTGGAGATCTGAATTGATTCTCTTCCCTTTTCTTTTACAGTTTCTGTTCGGATCATTATATTATCCATATCTATTTGAGATCCATCTTTGTGACAAAAGGATAAATAACCAGCTAATGACGTAACTAATGCATTGTATTTCTAACATTAAAAGATCATTCAAGTTTGCCCATCAGTATAAAAACATTAGCGATGGTCAGCGACAATTATATTAAGAAGATTGATTAAGGACGGCAATATAATCATGCTGTCCGATGACTTCGTGGAAAACCAACCTCAGCTTTTCTTATATATACACTGTTTCATTGTCATTCAGGATGTCAATAAATTGAGTAAACCCGAGCTTCGCTAGTTGCTATGGATATATCCATGGAAGCTCCGCCGCGCTTGAAGGGGCATGTGGTGGCCGTGCCTTTCCCGACCAGAGGCCACGTCAACCCCATGATGAACCTCTGCAAATTTCTGGCTTCAAGAGCCGCCAATGTCATCATCACCTTCGTCGTCACTGAAGAGTGGCATGGCTACATCGAATCGTACACCAAGCCACATAACATTCGCTACGCCACCATCCCCAACGTCATCCCTTTGGAGAACCAGATACTCGACGATATATTTCGCTTCTCCAAAGCCATCGTGACAAAGATGAGAGATGCGTTCGAGCAGCTACTCGATCAGCTTGACCTGCCGGTTACTGCTATCGTTGCTGATGTTGAGTTGGTGTGGCCAACCGCCGTGGCAAAACGGAGGAACATACCGGTGGCTCTGTTGTGGACGATGTCAGCGTCATTCTTCGGCACGTATCTCCAGCTGGATGTCTTGGCCCCTGGCCGGGGTTCGGCGGCTGATCTTCTGGGTAACGTATCCCACACGACACTTGTTTCATTATTTTAAGAGTTATTTACATATTTACTATTTAGTATTCTGTAGAAATGCGTTGTGTCGTCATGAACTATGATATACTAATATTTTTGTGATTTGTGATGTTTAACAAAACAGTAGGAGTCTAAGCTTTTTAAGTTGATTGATTACGAGTCGGTGATACAGATGAGGAAGCCGAGCACGTTCTGGGAATCACTTCCTCACAACTCACTGATATTCGAAAGCTGCTTCAAGAACTGGATCCCAAAGTTTTGAATATTGGCTTGGATTGCATCCCAGAAATAGCCAAAACCGATTATCTCCTTCTCAACACGGTTCAAGAGCTAGAAGCTGAGCATATAAATCATCTAAAAGCTAAATTCCGCTTTCATGTCTATCCTATGGGCCCTGCCATACCGTTTCTGGAACTTGAACCACCCAAAGATTCATCAACGACCAACTTTGACCACATAACGAAGTGGTTAGATTCACAGCCAAATTTGTCAGTGATTTACATTTCTGTGGGCAGTTTCCTCTCGATGTCTCGTCCCCAAATGGAAGAACTTGCTTCTGCTTTGAAAACCAGTGGGATTCGTTTCCTGTGGGCTTGTCGTTCAGATTCAGAGTGGCTGAAAGAGAAATGCGGGGACAGGGGTCTGGTGGTGGCATGGTGTGACCAGTTAAAAGTTTTGTGCCATGATTCGATTGCCGGATTTTGGAGCCATTGTGGATGGAATTCAATTCTGGAAGCTTGCTTTGCTGGTGTCCCAATACTGGGATTTCCTATATTTCTGGATCAATTCTCGAACTGCAGGCTTATTGCAGAAGAGTGGAAGAGTGGATGGATGGTGGGTGGTGAAAGATCAGAGGACTTTGTGACGAAAGAAGAAATATTGAAGGTGGTTAAGAAGGTGATGGACCATGGGAACAAAGAAGGGAAGAAAATAAGAGACAGGGCAAAACAACTGAAGGCGTTGTTTCGCGAAGCGATTGCGGAAATTGGTTCCTCTTCCCTCCACTTGAACCTCCATGCTTTTGTCCAAGACATTCTGGGTGTTTAAGATAACAGAGAAAGAAAACATGTATTTGTAGATATTAATAATAAGGATATCCAGGTCAAATAATAATACTCCCTCCGTTTCTTATTATAAGAGACATTTGATGCTTATGGCATGTTCCTATATATAAGAGACACTTAAAAGTTGTCTCTACTTGTTTGTGTTAATTTTCTATTTTACCCATATTTATTGTCTCTAACTAACACTCTCTCTCATTCCCACTTCTCTTTCTTTTAATAATTTACCATTGTTCTCTCTCATGCTCTCTCCTTATTAATGAGGATATTTTTAGAAAAAAAGTTATACTTTTTACATATTAATTATTTTTAACTAATTTTAACTGGTTTTTTATCAACGTAATTCGGTTATTCGTCTCTTATAATAAAGAACGGAGGGAGTAATAATTGAGGGTAAAACTTGTATGCTCAAATAGTCTATGATAAAAGCGGAGTGAGGTGCAAGTATGTATTTATCTTTCATAGCTTCTATAATCTCTCAGTTATATAAAGACACGTGTAATATAACTCCCACCTTACAAACCTAGCTGCTGACCATGAAGCGTGGAAGGGTTAATTGTCCCCACCATTTCTTTAATGTTATACTCTTTTGATCTTAAATATAAGATTCATTTTGTAGTGTAATTTGCACTGTAAAATAGGTCTTATATTTAGAACAAGAGGAGTATATATCTATCTCCTCTATATATGTATATGTGTACGGTGTATATTGACTGTCTTAATATTTAGTACTCCTCCGGTCCTTAATATAGGACCCAATTCTTGAGTTGGTTTTGGTCCTAAATATAAGAGCCATTTCTCATATTTATCATTTTTCTCTAAATTACCCCTATGAATACTCCCTCAACCATAATCAAGTAAAAGAGGGGGGATGGGGTATTAAGAAAGATGATTATGGTGTTTTAGGAAAAATGTGTCACTTTTCTTATAATTAACTAACTTATCTAACTTTTTTAATCTAATCAAATTAGTTAAATGGGTCTTATATTAAGGACCGGAGGAGTATTATATATCACTTCATACTTCGTTTATTTTGTTTTCATCATTTTATATTTTTGCATGTCTACTGTACATATATCACATATTTTTATTTCATCTGTTGTTTTGATTAAGACAGGCAAACTCATTCTCCACTAATACGTATATGCACGCTTGTATTATTACTATCATTTTAATGTCTCTTCCTTTTGCATATTCTTATTCTTTCCCCTGAGTAGTAAGACCCTCTATTATTTGTAGTGGTATTGTTAGTTCTAATAATATATACACACATATATATATATATATATATAACATTGAAAGAAAATCAACATAATATTAAAAACAACCACACTCTTCTCTAGCGTGCAAATGAATGCAGGGAATAAAGCATCGGGTAAATTCACAAAAGGGGGAGGGGAATGGATTTTTGAGTTCGTTGAATGAACATGTAGAGTTATTTATATAAAGAGGAATGCTTGCGAGTGTTGAAATAAGAGAATCATTATGGAAACTTATTGACAACAACAATAATGTCCATTTATACTGTTAAATATTTAAGAAAAATATCAAAAAAAATAACTGTTAAATTTTAAAATTCTGAATAAAAAATTACTAAAAAATATGTTGTTATTTGTCTTTCTAATATGATCTTTTTTTTAACCAGTATAGTAACTAATATTAATTTAAAATTTTAAAATTCGATGATTTGGGGCAAAACGGAGAAAAGACAGCTTGGAATTTGGATTTCTTTAATCCAGGAATGCTGCTCTTGGTCCCTTCATTATGACGGCCAATCTTCAACGGCGTTGTAGAAAAGCCATATCCTTGGTCAACGTCTGCTTTCCCTCACCTGAGATCTAGAATTTCAACAGAGCAACCCTCAAGCTTCCCCGGTTGCCGTGAGCCTGTGGCCATGTCCATGGAGCTTCCACCGTCCTTCAAGGGGCATGTGGTGGCCCTGCCTTTCCCCACCAGAGGGCACGTCAATCCCTTAATCAATCTCTGCAAATTTCTCGCTTCGAGACGGCCCTGCGATGTTATCATTACCTTTGTCGTCACCCAAGAGTGGCTCGGCTTCATCCAATCCTATCCTAAGCCCCACACTATCCGCTTCGCCACCATCCCCAACGTCATCCCCTTGGACTCCCAAATCCTCGACGATGTTCCTTCTTTCACGGAAGCCGTCGCCACCAAGATGAGACCTGCGCTCGAGCAGCTTCTCGATCAGCTTCATCCGAAGGTTACTGCGATCGTCTCTGATGCTGAGCTGGCCACAAACCTTAGGAATATTCCGGTGGCTCTGTTGTGGACCATGTTGGCGTCGTTCTTTGAAACTTTCCGTCAGTTGGATATCTTGGCCCCGCACCTGACCCTCTTTTGTCGGTTCATCTTTTGGGCAATGTATCCTACCCTGCCTACACCTTGCTAGTTTTATTAGAAGTTACAGTATTTTTTAACGCAAAAACCGTTATTGTTGCCATCAATTATTATATCCTGTGACGTTTAATTTTTCAGCTGAACAGTAGTTTAGGAATATTGAGGCTCTTGACTTCATCGATAACGAGTTATTGGTTCAGATGAGCGAGCTCAGCACATTAAGGTACTTCTCCCTCACAGCTCACTGATCTGCAAAAGCTACTTCGTGAAAGCGATCTCCATTTTTTGAAGATTGCCCTGAATTTCACACCAGGATTGGGCAAAACTGATTGTCTCCTCCTCAATACCATCCAAGAGCTAGAGGCCGAACGAATAAATTATCTAAAAGCTATACTCCCCTTTCGTCTCTATCCCATAGGCCCTGCCATACCTTTTATGGAGCTCGATTCATCCGCCAGTAACGTTGACCATATAACAACATGGCTAGATTGTCAGCCAAATTTGTCAGTACTGTACATTTCTAAGGGTAGTTCGTTTTCCATGTCTCGTCCCCAGATGGAAGAGCTTGCTTCAGCTCTGAAAACCTGTGAGATTCGTTTTCTGTGGGTGGGTCGTTCAGATGCAGAGTGGCTGAAAGAGAAATGTGGAGATAATGGTCTGGTGGTGCCATGGTGTGACCAGTTAAAGGTGTTGTGCCATGCTTCCATTGCCGGATTTTGGAGCCATTGTGGGTGGAATTCCATTCTGGAAGCATGCTTCGCAGGCGTGCCAATACTGGGATTCCCTGTGTTTTTGGATCAGTTCTCGAACTGCAGGCATATTGCAGAAGTGTGGAAGAATGGGAGGAAGGTGGGTGGTGATAGATCAGAGGATTTGGTAACTGAAGAAGAAATATTGGAAGTGGCTAAGATGGTGGCGGATGTGGAGAACGATGAATGGAAGAAGATTAAAGAGAAAGCAAAAGATCTGAAGGCGTTATTTCGCGGAGCGATTGCCAGAGGAGGTTCGTCTGACATGAATATGAATGCCTTTGTGGAGACATCGTCGAGGGATAAAGATGTGTATTTTGACGTTCATGTCAACCAGTCTTGATATAAAAATTGCAACGGGAAAGCGCTACGAGAAAGTCTCATCCGGGACTTGTTAGCTTTTATCTATAAACGAATGCAAATCAATGATGAAAAATTATTACCTAAAAAGCGCATTAAAAAGCTTGGCATCCGTATATGGATGTCAATTTAGCGTGAAGCAGTAACACTCAATCCATTTGAAGTTTAATTTTAAGCATCTAGGAAACTTGTAAATCTAGAATTTGATCGTTATTTAATTTTACCTGTATATAGTCAAAAATTGCTGGTAAACTATAATATATATTAATATATTGTAGAAAACCTTTTAAGCTTTTAACAGAACAAATGAACAATTGAGATTAAATTTGCATTTGCTTTAGACTTTGTTCTTATAATATTACTTCATACATCAATGTTTGTGTTTTTTTTAAAAAAAATTTTATACTACCTCCGGTCCTTAATAGAAGACCTTATTTGATTTTTATTTTGATCATAAATATAAGACCTCAATCCATTTTGCCTCTTATATTTATATTTTTTTTCCAAATAGTCTTTCTCACAATGGTAGTTCTAGCTAATATACTATATTAACAAGGATATTTTTTTAATCTCCTCAAATTAGTCAATTAGCTCTTATAATTAGAACTGAAAATAGTATTTCTGCATATATGCTATACATGCTTACCATGAGCATATTTACAGAAATCAAAACAAAATTTTTTTCACATACTTATTTTTTACATTGTAAATTGTGGTTAAGAAGATTATTTTTAATGACTTGAATCACCATTCCAAAACAAGCTCCCATTCTTTACCAATACGAAAGCATGTTTTTTAAATTATTTTATTATTACTATCACTTGTACGTCTTTTTTCGGTTCAAATTCTTATTCTTTTCCTTTAGTCGTAAAATCAACATATATCAAAACAGCCATATTCTTCTCAAGTAGTCAAATGAATTTAGGAATAAAACATTGGGTGAATTCGCAAGGGAAAAAAGAGGCTAATGATGGCACAGTCATTTGTACCAAAAAAAAAAAGCTTTAAGGTGTTGAAAAAAGTCATTTTATGTAATCATGATTGCTACTGAAAGCTGACTATTGTCTATTGTATCCTATTATTACTAAAATTATCTGAGACCTTTATATATTAAAAAAAAATCTGAGCCTTAAATTCAGTTGTTGTTTAGATGATTGTAGTAGTTGTGCCTGGGTTTGCTTTGTTACGTCTCGTGAACTTTTTTATGAATTGGCTCGTAGGGTGCGGTGCTATCAACTCTGTCTATAGGATGCTTCTCTGTTTTAATAAAATACAATGGACTATTTCATAAAAAAAAAAAAAGCAAGCTCATCATTAACAACAATAATAATTCTATTCGTGTTATTAAATAGTTATTGCTCCCATGATCTACCATATACTCTTCACAATGTGAATTTAATTTAAACACGAAAACCCTAATGACAAATATCCATTCCATCCCAGACTTCTGAACCCCATTGCTGCCTTCCACTCTTGGGGTTCAGGGTAATTAGTTATTACCTCTTACCTCCGGTCTTAATTAAAAGAGTTAGTCGACTAGTTTGAGAGGATTAAGGAAAGAAGTTAAATTAGTTACTTGTCATAAATAGGTGTTGTCTTTCCTAAAATATCCTTACTAATCAAGTGTATTTACTAGAACTACTATTGTTAGAAAGACTATCTTGAAAAAAAGATGTATAAATATTAGAGATAAAGTGGATTAGAGTTTTATATTTATTATCAAAATAAAAATCAAATAAAACGTTATATTAAGAGGAGGAGATAGTATTATCCAAATTGAGCCGCATCACAAACTCGAATGTTAACGCGGCTGGACCATATGTACCATTTCCATGTTGGGGAATTAATTAGATGTTTTTTTAAGGCCAATGGTGAATGGACAGCTTAATTGGATTTATCAGCTTATTTTATCGGAGAACGATGCTGTCCTGATCCCTCCAATCCCCATGCCATATAGCCTCGGTCAACGTCTGCTTCCCCATCACCTGTATGTATTGTCTCACGCTCGTCTCAGATCTACATCCACATCCTGCCATTTCAACATATTACCAAGCTGCTGTGAGTCTGACTATATGTCCATGGAGCTTCCACCCTCTTTCAAGGGCCATGTGGTGGCCCTGCCTTTCCCCACCCGAGGCCACGTCAACCCCTTGATCCACCTCTGCAAATTTCTCTCTTCAAGACGACCCACTGACGTTCTCATCACCTTCGTCGTCACCCAAGAGTGGCTCGGCTTCATCCAATCTTACCCCAAGCCACGCACCATTCGTTTCGCCACCATTCCCAACGTCATCCCCTTGGATGCCCACATCCTTGACGATAATGCTTCTTTCACCGAAGCCGTTGCCACCGAGATGAGACCTGGGTTCGAGCAGCTTCTCGATCAGCTTCAGCCGCCGGTTACCGCTATCGTCTCTGATGCTGAGTTGGCGTGGCCAGCCGCCGTGGCGAACCTTAGGAATATTCCGGTGGCCCTGTTATGGACAATGTCGGCGTCGTTCTTCGAAACTTTCCGTCAGCTGGATATCTTGACCCCCGCCCCTGACCGGCTTTTGTCGGTTCATCTTTTGGGTGTCCTTCACCTCACTTGTTTCGTTAACTTATTATATCTTTTTCAAAAAAGAAAAAGCTTTATGTTTTTCACCTGAAAAGTTGTTTAGGAATTTCTGGCTAAAATCTATTGACTTTTTGATAATGATACAGATGAGCAAGCTGAGCGCATTGCGCAGCTCTGTTCGTCACAGCTCACCGATCTGCGAAAGCTGCTTCGTGAAAGCGATCTCAGGTTTTTGAAGATTGCCCTGAATTGCATCCCCAGATTAGCCAAAACTGATTATCTCCTCCTGAATACGATCCAAGAGCTAGAGGCCGAACAAATAAATTATCTAAAAGCTATACTCCCCTTTGGCGTCTATCCCATAGGCCCTGCCATACCTTTTATGGAACTCGATTCATCGACCATTACCGTTGACCATATAATAAAGTGGCTAGATTCCCAGCCAAATTTGTCGGTGTTGTACATTTCTATGGGTAGTTCGTTTTCCATGTCTCGTCCGCAGATGGAAGAGCTTGCTTCGGCTCTGAAAACCAGTGAGATTCGTTTTCTGTGGGCGGGTCGTTCAGATGCAGGGTGGCTTAAAGAGAAATGCGGGGATAATGGTCTGGTGGTGCCATGATGTGACCAGTTAAGGGTGTTGTGCCGTGCTGCCATTGCCGGATTCTGGAGCCATTGCGGGTGGAATTCAACTCTGGAAGCATGCTTTGCCGGTGTGCCAATACTAGGATTTCCTGTGTTTCTGGATCAGTCTTCGAACTGCAGGCATATTGCAGAAGTGTGGAAGAATGGGAGGAAGGTGGGTGGTGAGAGATCAGAGGATTTGGTAAGGAAAGAAGAAATATTGAAAGAGGTTAAGATGGTGGTGGATGTTGAGAATGAGGAATGGAAGAAGATTAGAGAAAAAGCAAAAGAACTAAAGGTGTTATTTCGCGGAGCGATTGCCAAAGCAGGTTCGTCTGACATGAACATGGATGCCTTTGTGAGAGACATGTTTTAGGTGTCCAATACTTGAAGGAGATCTGAGGAATAAGGCCTGGATAGTTGCCACTGCCACTATATATATCCCACAGGTTCATGCATTTGCCCCAGTAAAACACGCGCACACGACTGGGATGTAGATTTGTATTTTGATCTCTTGTCAAAACAAGTTCTTGTGCAAGTGTGCTTTTAGTGAGTATTCATATAAATTAGCAATATTAATGCTGATTAGCCGCGTAAAAACAGCGCAGAGAAATATTCCCGCGGAGGTTTATTAATTTACGAACTCTATCGATAGTAGAACACAAAATAATAATATAAAAATAAAAATAAAAATTATAACCTAAAAAGTGCATAAAAATTTGTTATCCTTGTATGAGAGGGGATTCAATGAGAAGCAGTATAAGACGTAATAAGGATAGTGAGAGAAAGTAGAAATTCGGGAAAAAAAAATTGGAATTTAGTATGGTTGATAATAAGGGTATTATTGGGAATTACTTAAGTTTATGATAAATTTAATATTTTTTAATTATTTTTATTGACACATATAAATCAGTTAAAAATATCTTATATTATAGATATGGGGGACTATTATATCCTAGGCTCACATAAATTGTACAATATTATACTACTCCTCTGATCCTTAATATAAGATTCATTTAACTAGTTTGATTAGATTAAGAAAGTTAGGTAAGTTAGTTAATTATAAGAAAAGTGACACATTTTTCCTAAAACACCATAATCATCTTTCTTAATACCCCCTCTCCCTCTTCCACTTGATTATGGTTGAGAGAGCATCCATAGGGGTAATTTAGAGAAAACTGATAAATATGAGAAATAGGTCTTATATTTAGGACCAAAACCAACTCAACAATCGAGTCCTATATTAAGGACTGGAGGAGTATTACATAGTCAAAAATTGTGGTAAGACTACGAAATAAATAAATACATAATAAAATATTTTTTGAACCTTTAAGGAAACAAATGAACGATATGATATATATAGACCAACTACGAGTTTGCTCAGCATTACTGTCTCTCTTTGATCTAAATGTTCACCTTTATTTTTACAGATAATATTTACATCAACTTTTTTATATTTATTATATCAAATTTTTTTAATCAAACATAACTATGTGTTTTATTTTTAAAATATTAATATTTAACTATAAATTTATATGAAAAAAAATACATGATCCTATGATTAAAAAAGTTGAGATATAAAAAATTTGAAGTAAATGTTTTCCTATCTTTACCACTCAAACACCCTGGTTTTTTTTTTGTTTTTTTAAAATGGGAAAGATATTAATTACTTGAATTTCACTGGGCTGATGCATTTATAAAATAATTTTATAAAGATGTATTTTAAGGAGTTTATTTTTCTCAGAGACAAAACATTATTTCACATCTTACAAAATTATGTTAAAATCAGGAAGCCATAAGTTTCCAAACTAACAGAAAATTTTATTTTTAAAAAAGCTTTCGTGTGAGTTGAGGTTAAAGTTTAAACCCAATTTAATCCTCCATTTGGTAATGAGTTTTGATATCCTGATGTTATATTGTAAGATGGCAGGTTCAATTTTTCTTGGTCCAAGGGAAACAATGATAATAAATTGAATAAACGAAAAATTGAACAAATATAAATCAAATCAATTATTACAAAGCATTTCATTCGCTGTTATGTCAAGATCTTGTCTAATAGAATCACATAAACGTAAAAATATATAGTTAAAATTACTTAAAAATTCTTATTAAAAAAGATATAGTCATGAATGACATATTTGATCAGCTCAAAAAAAAAAATGAATGACATATTTGAAAAAACTAATAAATAATTTATTAATCTTGTAAAAGATTTATATTAAATATTATCTGGGTGCTTAATATAAAAACTAGTTGATTGATTTGAGTAAATTAAAAAAATTAGTTAAGTTAATTATTTGTAATAAATAGGCATTGTCTTTCTTAAAATATTATTGCTAATCAAATGTACTGACTAGAACTATCATTATCATAAAAACTATTTTAAGACAAAATTGATAAATATGAGAGATATGAAATTAAGATTTTATATTTATGATCAAAATAAAAATCAAACGAATTTTTATATCAAGAATAGGAGGGGTGCCGCTGATTTTTTTTTCCCCCCCAAAGCAACTGTTAAAAAGCTCATTGAAAGCATGTGGCGAAAAGAATTAGTTACTGAGCTAGTATTATAATGAGCTGGAACGGATGGTTGATGTCGAAAGAAATAGACGGATCAGATTTATTTGATCCCGAAATGCGTTTCACATATCTCCACTCGCCATTGATACGGTGCCATGTCCGTGGGCAACCTCTGTTTTCTTTCTCCGGTATTTTCTGTATTATATTTGTTCTAGATCTCAACAAATTAGGTAAACCCCAGCTTCATTAGTTGTTGGGAGTATGTCCATGGAAGGTCCGCCGCGTGTGAAGGGGCATGTGGTGGCTCTGCCTTTCCCGACCAGAGGGCAAGTCAACCCCATGATGAACCTCTGCAAATTTATCGCTTCAAGAAGAAACAATGAGGTTCTCATCACCTTCGTCGTCACCCAAGAGTGGCTCGGCTTCATCCAATCTTACTCCAAGCCGGACACTATCCGCTATGCCACCATCCCCAACGTCATCCCTTTGGACGGCCAGATGCTCGACGATGTTCCTGGTTTCACCGAAGCCGTCGCCACCAAGATGAGAACTGCATTCGAGCAGCTTCTCGATCGACTCGAGCCGCCTGTTACTGCTATCGTCTCTGATGCTGAATTGCCTTGGCCAGCTCCTGTGGGAAACTCTAGGAATATTCCGGTGGCTCTGTTATGGACGATGCCGGCATCGTTCTTTGAAATGTTCCGTCAGCTGTATATCTTGGCTCCTGGCCCTGACAGGCGTTTGTCGGTTGATCTTTTGGGTAATGTATCCTATACCACCCTAGTTTCATTGTTTACCTAAACAGTACGTAGTTTAGGACTTCTTTTGCTTTCGACTTCATATAACGAGCCTGTGATGCAGATGAGCAACGTGAGCATGTTCAGCGCATCTCTTCGTCGCAGCTCACTGATCTACGCAAGCTACTCCGCGAAAGCGATCTCAGGTTTTTGGAGATGTCCCTGGATTGCATTCCAGGATTAGCCAAAACTGATTGGCTCCTTCTCAATACGATCCAAGAATTAGAGGCGGAACAAATAAATCATCTAAAAGCTATATTCCCCTTTCCTGTCTATCCCATAGGCCCCGCCATACCTTTTATGGAACTTCAACCACCAAATAATTCATCGACGACGACCAATAACGCTGACCATATATTAAAGTGGCTAGATTGTCAGCCAAGTTTGTCAGTACTGTACATCTCTATGGGTAGTTTCATTTCAATGTCTCAGCCCCAGATGGAAGAAGTTGCTTCAGCTCTGAAAACCAGCGGGATTCGTTTTCTGTGGGTGGGTCGTTCAGACGCAAAATGGCTGCAAGAGAAATGTGGGGATAAGGGTGTGGTGGTGTCATGGTGTGACCAATTGAAGGTGTTGTGCCATGCTTCCGTTGCCGGATTCTGGAGCCATTGTGGATGGAATTCAACTCTGGAAGCATGCTTCGCAGGTGTGCCAATCCTGGGATTTCCTATGTTTCTGGATCAGTTCTCGAATTGCAGGCATATTGCGGAAGTGTGGAAGAATGGATGGAAGGTGGGTGGTGAGAGATCAGAGGACTTTGTAACGAAAGAAGACATACTGAAAGTGCTCAAGATGTTGATGGACGTTGAGAATGAGGAAGGGAAGAAGATTAGAGAGAAAGCAAAAGAAGTAAAGGCGTTTTTTCGCAGAGCAATTGCCAACGGAGGTTCGTCCGACATCAACATGGATGTTTTCGTGAAAGACGTGATTTAGGAAAATTATATATTTATTATATTAATTAATATTAATAGTATTAATAGTGGAGAGCAAGCTATTGTGAGAAGTCTAATTTTTCCTAGGATTAACCCTTTTGTTGGTAGAATTGTATTATGCCACCTCTTACCTCTTATCCTTTATCCTTAATGGTATCTATTATAATTAATGATTAATATAAGAGCTAGTTTGATCATAAACATAAGATTTTAATTTATTTTGTCTCTAATATTCGTTTATTTTGTCAAAATAATCTTTATTACAATTACACATATTAAATATTTCATTGAGTAGTAGTTTTAATTAATACATATGATTAGTAACGGTATATTAGGAAAGAAAATATATATTTACTATAAATAATTAATTTAACTAATTTTGTTAATCTTCCTAAATTAATTAATTAGGTTCTACATTAAGAATTGAGTTAATAATTTGAAGAGATAAAAAAAATTAGCTAAATTGATTATCTATAATTAATGTGTTCGACCTCTAAATTATCTTATTTAATTATACACATTAAAACTATTCTTTAGTAAAAAAATTTATAATTAATAGAAATATTACAGAGAATTGAACGTAAGCAGTATTTATAAGCTCCTAGTGAAAATCCTTAATAAATAAAGTAGTCTCTTTTTTTATTTTCACCTAACAAATTTGCATGGAAAACACAGAAAAGACACGCAGAACGAAACCAGATGCTTTATTCGGTCCAGCTGCACTTCTGTCCAGAAGGGCAGTTGGGTTTGACGGTGTGTTAGGTAATTTGGTCGCAGTTGTTTCGCTTTTTTATTTTTAGTGTACAGATCCTCATTTAAAAAAAAAAAAAGAGCAGGTCGGTTTGTACGGGGTGACGTGTACATATGTGGACCGTCGATGGAAAATACAGCTAAGATTTTTTTTAAACGCCTCGTACACCGTGCGGGTGGATCTCCATGCATGGAACTCGAATCCGAATCCGGATCTACAGCGACATCGGGGAAACGCCAAACTAATTGCTCCACAAATTACAAATTGGCATCAACCGAACATCTTGTCGTCTAGATGACAGGTTCAGTTTTTATTGGACCAGGGGAAAAGAGTGAGGACAAGTTTAAATTACAAAATTACAAAATGTAAGACGGAGAAAATGTTCAAATTTACATTAAATTAGGAGACGTAGATATATGCGACCACCGCTAGCCCACGACTTCATACGTGTGTGTATATATATAGATATGTCTTGTATGAAAAAAGAAATCACTGGAAAAATACATGAAAAAAGTATTCATGTGCCACTTCCGGTCCTATTTATGTAAAACATTTAGAGGAGAGTTTTTATTGTTGTTTTTAGAAAATATCATGTGAATATTCTACCATAATGGATATTAAGAATTTTAATGAATTTGAAAAAAAATTATATTAAAAAATATTCCTTATGAAACTCAGGATGCATTAGTTTGGGTCAAGCTTTTATTGGCCTTTTTATAAGACGCCACATTTGTATGTTTTTATTTCATCCCTATTCAACATCGACAGTTTGGCTAAAAGAAGAGAGTCACAAGAAAGTAATCACTTTAAAATATAACATAAATTCTATCTATTTACGTTTATCAAAAAATTAGTTAATATCAGTTTAAAATAATAAATATGTAAGATTTATATATTTTTTCAAATATGCACTTATTAATTAAAAGAGAGTAACGACGGGTTGAGCTGCCTGACTCTTAACTCGTAGCCAACTGGTTTTAAAATTATATGGGTACGGGTTAGTCCATGTCCGCGACTGTCTTGTTCAAACCCGTTGTTAAACAGGTTGGTTTTAATGAGCGGGTTTTTGCTAGTTTTGGGAATCCGTTTAAGATAAAGAATTTTAAAACCTGTTTAAACTTGAATACATTGAAATATTATCTCATATTCTTATTCTTACTAAACATTTTCAGCTTAAAGACAAGAAATAACTCAAGTAAGCTGTAAATAAATAACTAATTAAACCATTAATCATAACATAATATAATAATAATATCATAGCCATTAACCAATCAAATTTCAAGCTAAGGTCTTAGATTCTTAAAATTAAAAGTTCAAACTTCAAACTTCAAAAAAGCAAACCATAAAACAGAATAACATTCACTAATCAAAGTCAATACTCTATAACAACATTTTTTACCCTATGTCTCCCTCCTCCTCCTCCTTCTTTTTTTTTTAAATAATAAATGCTAAATTGGAGGGCACAGGCCACAGGCAGCCCATATTTATACCCATAGCCTATCTATTTATTATTGAAACCTCCTCATTTAAGCCTGTCCTTTTATTTCATTTTTTGGACAGGCTCAAATGGGCCCAATCCTTATGGGTTGTGGGCAAGATGGTAGGGTTGCGGATTGCTTGCTCACCCATATTATTAATAAAAAAAATAAGTAAGAAATGTAATAAATAAATTAAAGAGAAAAAAGAATAGGGAAAATGACAATAAAATACCACTTGAATTCTAAAAGGACAAATAAGGGACCTGAATAAGCAAAATGACAAATAAGGCACTGGGTACCAATCTGGAATTCATATTTTCGGCCAAAAGACCAAAACGCCCTGATGAATGCGGGAAGACCGAAAGCTGAAAGTGAGAAAAAGGAGAGAGGAAGACCGACGCAGTGAGAGAAAGGAGAGAGGAAGACCGACGCTGATGAAATGCGGGAAGAAGGAAAGAAGAATGTTGGAAATGCTATTATCTTACTCCTTCGCATCACCATTCTGTAGAGATTGTTGATTTTGGTTGTGGGAAAGAGGATTTGTAGTGAGAGAAGGAGTGAACCGAAGCGGAAATCAGCAAGCAATTACGTAACGTAACTGCTGTGATGTGCCTGCTGGTTTTTGGTAAATCCCATTACGTGAATGGTAAATTTCACTATACATGTAGTTAATTATGAATTTTACAAAATACATATTGTGATTTACAACTTTTGTAGTGAAAGTGACTACTTTGTTAATGGGTTTTGCAACCTGTTTTCAGGAGATAAACAACTTGTTTGTAAAAACTAATAAAAGTGACAACTTTTGTAGTCACGTTGAATTAACTGGTTGCAAAAGCCATTTAAGAAGTGGTCATTTTCACTATAAAAGTTGTAATATCACTGTGTATTTTGTAAAATTCAGCGTCAAATTTTATTGATTTTTAGAAACAAGTTGCTCATCCCCTGAAAAGAGGTTGCAAAACTCATTTAAGAAGTGGTCATTTTCACTATAAAAGTTGTAAATATCACTGTGTGTTTTGTAAAATTCAGCATCAAATTTTATTGATTTTTAGAAACAAGTTGCTCATCTCCTGAAAAGAGGTTGCAAAACTCATTTAAGAAGTGGTAATTTTCACTACAAAATTGTAAATATCACTGTGTGTTTTGTAAAATTCAGCATGGAATTTTATTGGTTTTTAGAAACAAGTTGCTCATCCCCTGAAAAGATGTTGCAAAACTCATTTAAGAAGTGGTAATTTTCACTACAAAAGTTGTAAATATCACTCTATGTTTTGTAAAATTCAGCATGGAATTTTATTGGTTTTTAGAAACAAGTTGCCAATTCCTTGAAAAGAGGTTGCAAAACTCATTTAAGAAGTGGTAATTTTCACTACGAAAGTTGTAAATCTCACTATGTGTTTGTCAAATTTAGTAGGAAATTTTATTAGTTTTTAGAAACAAGCTGCCCATCCCTGAAAACAAGTTACAAAACCCATTGAATAAGTGGTCATTTTTACTACGGAAGTTGTAAATCCCACTATACGTTTTGTCAAATTTAGCGTGAAATTTTATTAGTTTTTACAAACAAGTTGTTTATCTCCTGAAAACAGGTTGCAAAATCCATTAACAAAGTAGTCACTTTCACTACAAAAGTTATAAATCACAATATGTATTTTGTAAAATTCATAATTAACTACATGTATAGTGAAATTTACCATTCACGTAATGGGATTTACCAAAAACCAGCAGGCACATCACAGCAGTTACGTTACGTAATTGCTTGCTGATTTCCGCTTCGGTTCACTCCCTCTCTCACTACAAATCCTCTTTCCCACAACCAAAATCACAATCTCTACAGAATGGTGATGCGAAGGAGTAAGATAATAGCATTTCCAACATTCTTCTTTCCTTCTTCCCGCATTTCATCAGCGTCGGTCTTCCTCTCTCCTTTCTCTCACTGCGTCGGTCTTCCTCTCTCCTTTCTCTCACTTTCAGCTTTCGGTCTTCCCGCATTCATCAGGGCGTTTTGGTCTTTTGGCCGAAAATATTAATTCCAGATTGGTTCCCAGTGACCTCCTTGTCATTTTGCTTATTCAGGTCCCTTATTTGTCCTTTTAGAATTCAAGTGGTATTTTATTGTCATTTTCCCAAAAGAAATATAGAGGTAGAATTAAAAGAAAACTCATTAAATATTTAAACAAAAGTGAATATTATTTTATAAAAAAAATCAAGCCCCTCCAACAAAATTTAGGTTATATTTTAAACCACATAGAGTATAACACTTTCGTTAGAAACCAGTTTCAGATTATGAGCACTCTAAACTCATTAGATCTGGATCATTTATATTTGATTTAAACCGTCCAAATTAAAATATTTATTAATTATTTTTAAATAGAAAAAATTATTTTTTGAAAAAAATGATAGTTAAAAAATTATCTCTATTTTATATTCTATACATGTTAAAATAATTATTTTGAATAAAAAAAATAAAAATTAAATCCGGACTATTTCAGATGAGATATAGACATTTCAGATATAATAAGTTTAAGGTGCTTATTAAAGTGATAAACACTCATTCTTTTTTTGAAGATGTACTTAATACGAATAAGGTAGGAAATTTTTAAGTTTTTAGACGGAGTTAGTTTTTTTTTTTAAATTTTTATTAGTCAAGATGAAAGATGATGAAAGTAACTTCTTCTAAATGATGGACAGGAATAGGTTGGCATTATTAATGTTGATGTTGGTATAAACCTAGCCAGTAGTCACAGGAGAGAGAGCGCAAAGAAATTCTCAAACGGAGGCTTATTGATTTATGGACTCTATCTTTGAAGTAAATGAATGCAAATTGATAATGAAGAATACCTGGCCTAATAATTAGTGAAAAATAAAGGAGCGGACCATTAACTTGGAGTCGCGCCTATGCCTCTTCATTTTTCAACTCTTGTTCTTACGGCGAGCGTGGGGTGACGTGGCCATATCTGGAGCGTCGATTAGAACAAAAAAAAAAAAACACACAGCTAAGTTTCTTCTTGACGCCAAGCCCAGAAACAGCACCGCCATATTCCTGGTCAACCCCTGCCTTCTCTTGCCCGTATTCATCTGGCCTTAGATCTGGAATTTCAGCAAATTTAAGTAAACCCAAGCTTCAGTATCTTTTGTGAATACGTCCATGGAAGTTCCACCATGCGTGAAGGGGCATGTGGTGGCCCTGCCATTCCCCACGAGAAGCCTAATCAACCCCATGATGAACCTCTGCAAATTTCTCGCTTCAAGAAGACCCAATGAGGTTTTTATCACCTTCGTTGTCACTGAAGAGTGGCTCGGCTACATCGAAGCTTACCCCAAGCCCCACACTATTCGCGTCGCCACCATCCCCGACCTCATTCCTTCGGACGGCCAAACGGTCCACGACGTTCCTGGTTTCATTGAAGCCATTGCGACGAAGATGAGACCTGCATTCGAGCAGCTTCTAGATAAACTTGAGTCGCCGGTTACTGCTATCGTCGGTGATGCTAATTTGGTCTGGCCAGCCGCTGTGGCGAACCTTAGGAACATTCCGGTGGCTCTGTTATGGACGATGTCAGCGTCGTGCTTCGAATCGTACCGTCAGCTCGATATCTTGGCCCCTGGTCCTGACCGTTGTTTATCGGTTCATCTTTTGGGTAATGTATCCTGCATGGCTACATGACACTTTGCTTCATTAAACTTAATAAGTTATAGTATTTTGAAAAAAAGAAACGTTATTGTCATCACCAATCCCTGCATTCTACGACGTTTAATTGTTAGCTAAGCAGTAGCTCAGGAATTTTTGGCTACATATTGACTTCATCCATGACGTGTTATCGATACAGATGGGCAAGCTGAGCACATTCAGCGGATCCCTTCCTCACAGCTCACTGATCTACGAAAGCTACTCCACGAAAGCGATTTCAGGTTTTTGAAGATGTCCCTGGATTGCATTTCAGGATTAGCCAAAACTGATTGTCTCCTCCTCAATACGATCCAAGAGCTAGAGGCCGAACAAATAAATTACCTAAAAGCTATAGTCCCCTTTCGTGTCTATCCCGTAGGCCCTGCCATTCCTTTTATGGAACTCGAACCACCAAATGATTCTTCCACCAATAACGTTGACCATATATTAAAGTGGCTAGATTGTCAGCCAAATTTTTCAGTGTTGTACATTTCTATGGGTAGTTTCCTTTCAATGTCTCGGCCCCAGATGGAAGAACTTGCTTCAGCTTTAAAAGCCAGTGGGATTCGTTTTCTGTGGGTGGGTCGTTCAGACGCAGAGTGGCTGAAAGAGAAATGTGGGGATAAGGGTCTGGTGGTTCCATGGTGCGACCAATTGAAGGTGTTGTGCCACAGTAGTATTGCGGGATTTTGGAGCCATTGTGGATGGAATTCAACGATGGAAGCTTGCTTTGCAGGCGTGCCGATCCTGGGATTTCCTCTGTTTCTGGATCAATTCTCGACTTGCAGGCATATTGCACAGGTGTGGAAGAATGGATGGAAGGTGGGTGGTAAGAAATCAGAGGACTTTGTGACGAAGGAAGAAATATTGAAAGTAGTTCAGATGGTGATGGATGTTGAGAATGAGGAAGGGACGAAAATCAGAGAAAAGGCGAAAGAACTGAAGGCGATGTTTCGCAGAGCAATTGCCAAAGCTGGTTCGTCTGACATGAACATGGATGCTTTTGTGGAAGACATGTTTTAAGTGCCCAGGTAGATCTGTGGAAGTAGGAGACCTGGCTATATGTGGTTGCCACTGTGTACCCCACGACTTCATGCATTCGTCTAGTATGAAAAAAATAATCACTTATTTGGGATGTAGATTTGCATTTTGAACTCCTGTTTATTGACGTTCTTATGCAATCGCGTTTTTAGCTACTATTCATATAAATTAGTATTATTAATAAGCTGATTAGCCGCCGGAAAAAGCACGGAGGTTTATTAATAAGAAAGTTGGGGGAAATGTTCCTCATTATTATTAATCCATATGTACTCTATCCATAAACAAAGAATACAAATATCAATGAAATATTATAGCCTAAAAAGTACATGAAAAGTGTGTTATCCGTAAATGAGTGAAGGTTCAGTAAAAAGCCGTACAAGAGCTAATATGTTATATTGTTCTAACTCATCGATTCAGAATTTTGTTTTTTTTTTTTGTTGACCGGGATTCAGAATTCATCGTTACATAATCTTAATGTAGTTGAAAATCGTGGTAATTAAGAATACAAAATAAATAAATACACCGTAGAAATTTCGTTGATCCTTTAACCAAAAAATGAACAATATAAGAGAAGATTAACTATGAGTTTGCGCCAGATTGTTGTCTCCTCTCGTTTATCTAAACCTTCCGTCTATTTTTCACCACGTAGTTTTCTCAGTCAAACAAGAAGTGCATAATCTACTATATTCCTTTTTTTCTTTTTTTCTTTTAACCACTCTCACACGCGCTAACTTTACTGCAAGAAAGAAAACAAAAAAGCAAAAAAAAAAAAAACCCATCTCCTTTGGAAAATGTTCTTGCAACCTCCCTGATGAGAAGTGCAAGGGTAGTCTCTAAACTTGCGGGTCTTGGTTATTGTACGTTTATATATATAAAGTTTCATTCAAAAGAATATATTTACCTTAACACAAATAATAATTTTACATCTTACAGGTATTTTTATAAAAAATTATGTTCAAAAACAAAAGGCCACAATATTTTAAAATCACAAAAAAGAGTTTTCTTGAAAAGGTTTTCATATGATTTTAAGAATCATGTGGATTAAATTGGGGTAGCCCTAATCAAAACAGCACTAAAAATCACCCCCAAACGAGGCCCAGCGTCAATTTTCAAGGAGCAAAGTGACCCTTTAGGACCTAAAGGGGAATAACGATCCACGTCGTGGTCGAATTGGAGCTTGGAAACTGGCAATACGGGGAACTTACGTCCCCACCTCACAATAGTGCTTGGCCATATTACTATTCTTATAGGATCCAGTCATTTCTCATTTCAAAGACTCTGAAGAATCCGCCTTCCTTCTCCTCCACGCCCTCTTCTCTTCATCAGCTGCTGAACACTAGATCCAGTGAGCAGCAAACCTCAATGGAAGCCGCCTGTCATGTGCTTGCCATGCCCTATCCGGCTCGGGGCCGCATAAACCCTTTGCTCAACTTCTGCAAATTGCTGATCGCCAACAACACTCGTATCCTCGTCACCTTTGTCCTCACCGAGGAATGGCTTGGTTTCATTCGCTCCGATAATGCTGCGCCTGCTAATATACGCTTCGCCACGATACCAAATGTGATTCCGTCGGAGCTGGTTCGCGGAGCCGACCAAATCGGCTTCATGGAAGCTATTATGACCAACATGGAAGCCCCATTTGAGCAGCTTCTAGATCGGCTTGAGCCGCTGCCTACGATCATCGTGCACGATACTCTCTTGTTCTGGGTAGTTGGCGTCGGAAATAGAAGAAATATCACTCTGGCGTCGTTTTGGACCATGTCAGCGTCGGTTTTCTCAGTGCTTCACCATAACCACCTCCTGGAGCAAAATTCTCATTACCCACTACATTTGTCGGGTGAGGACAAGATATCAAATTCTTCCTATTTCTTTCAATAGGAAACTAAATTTCACGTATTCATCTATTTGTCTTTAACTAATTTGGAACAGAAAACGGTGACAAACGAGTGGATTATATTCCTGGAATTCCACCTACTCGTTTGGCAGATTTTCCTCTCAAGGACGAAAGCTCGCGCACCCAGCGACTTGTGGATCTTACAAGGAAAGGTGTTTTATGGACCCCGAAAGCACAATATCTCGTTTGCTTCAATATATGAACTTGAGCCTCAAGCCATTGACGCCCTTAAATCAGAGTTATCTTTGCCCATTTACACCATCGGCCCTGCCATACCTTGTTTCAGTACTGGAGATAAAACCAATTTGAACGTCAACAGCAACACCACCACCGCAAGCCATGGCTACTTACAGTGGCTGGACAACCAACCCAACAACTCTGTTCTATACATCTCACAAGGGAGCCACTTCTCCGTTTCAAAGGCTCAAATTGACGAGATTGCTTCTGGTTTGCGTGAAAGTGGAGCGCGATTTCTCTGGGTAGCAAGAAGAGAGGCTTCTAAGTTGAAGGAGATTTGTGGGGACAAGGGGTTGGTTGTGGAATGGTGTGACCAGTTGAAAGTGTTGACTCATCCGGCAATAGGAGGCTTTTGGACGCACTGTGGGTGGAATTCGACAAAAGAAGGGATTTTTGCGGGCGTTCCGTTTCTGACGTTGCCAATCATAATGGACCAGGGCTTGGACAGTGCAATGATAGTAGAGTGGTGGAAGGTGGGGCGGAGGGTGAAGGACGACGTCAAAGTAGACAGTGTGGTGAAAAAAGATGAAGTTGCGGGGCTTCTGAAAAGGCTTATGAATGCGGAAAGTGAGGAAGGAAGAGACGTGAGGAAAAGAGCCAAAGAGCTTCAGCGCATGTTTCACCGTGCGATTGCAGATGGTGGCTCTGCTCAAAATGATTTCAATGCCTTTGTTAGGGAGATTACGAATATTTCGAGATAATTTTAACTTCATTTCGGTGGGGATGGGTCCTGATGAACCGGGCTTTGTGTTTGGTATGTGCTGGGAAATTCTATGTATTGATTTAAAATTCTTGCATTAAAAGTCAAACCACAAGAAATGCCATGTACGGTATTAATCAGTGGTTCATGACATTGAATCTGGAATTGTCCAACTCAAAAAAAGTTTATTGGAGATTTCCCAACGGCACGCCGTTAATGGAATATGGTCACATTGAACGGCAGGCAATAATTCTAGTTGGGCCTCATCATCTTGCCACCCGCGATGGTGAGGAAACATTGATGATGATGAGAATGACGGATTTGATTTGAGCACGCATGAGATTGAAAGATGAGAAGGAATGCGTCCTTGATTGGGTTTTTACTTTTTAGGTCGGTTTACGTGCCTTTCAAGCGCCCAGCGGGACCGCAACTTCCATTAGAGCTTTACCATTGTCACAAGTAATAAATTTTAAGTACCACTTCTCTAGTATTCTCTAATTTCATAAACTCTTTCTGGTTCTCGATATAAAACCTAATTTTTAAGTTAGTTTTAATCCTAGATATAAGATCTATTTTTTATACTTATTAATTTTTTTCTAAATTACTCCTATAGATATTCTCTCAATCATAATTAAGTAGAAGAAGGAGATGAGATATTAAGAAAGATGATTATGGTGTTTTAGGAAAAATGTGTCACTTTTCTTATAATTAACTAACTTACCTAACTTCCTTAATCTAATTAAATTAGTTAAATGGGTCTTATATTAAAAACTGGAAAAGTACATAGGTTTAATCTTAGGTAATAAGTAATCTCTTATACTAAATTTTTTCCAGTCCTTAATATAAGGCCCATTTAAATAATTTGATTAGATTAAGAAAGTTAGGTAAGTTAGTTAATTATAAGAAATGTGACACATTTTTTCTAAAACATTATAATCATCTTTCTTAATACCCCCTCTCCCTCTTCTACTTGATTATGGTTGAGGGAGTATCCATAAGTAATTTAGAGAAAATTGATAAATATGAGAAATAGATCTTATATTTAGAACCAAAACTAACTTAATAATTAGGTCATATATTAAGGATCGGGGGAGTACTCTTTTATTAAATTTTTTTAATCCTAATCCTAATCCTAATTTCTATCTTTAATTTTCAATGCTTTCAGGAAGACACCACTCGAATGGTTCACACTTCACACATTAATTTTTACTACTATTATATACTACTTCTGATTTTAATTATAAAAGTTAATTGACTAATTTGAGGAGATTAAGAAAAAAAGTTAAGTTAGTTATTTATAATAAATAAGTATTATCTTTCCTAAAATATTTCTGCTAATCAAGTGTATTTACTAGAATTATCATTGTTAAAAAGAGTACTTTAGGAAAAAATACATAAATATGAGAGACAAAGTGGATTAGAGTTTTATATTTAAGGGGTGTTTGGATAAAAACAAAATCATGGTTTTAGAAGTGCTTTTACGGTATACGAAATAAATATGTGAAGAAATTTATCTCGTTTTATAAAAAAATTTTCTAAAAAATGATTATGGGATTACTCAAACACTCTTTTTAGTATCAAAATAAAAGTTAAATAAAATAAACAGCAGAGGTAGTAATATACTCCTCCGGTCCTTAATATAGGATTCAATTCTTGAGTTGGTTTTGGTTCTAAATATAAGACTCATTTCTCATATTTATCAATTTTCTCTAAATTACCCCTATGGATACTCTCTCAACCATAATCAAATAGAAGAGGGGAAGGGATATTAGAAAGATGATTATGGTGTTTTAGGAAAAATGTGTCACTTTTCTTATAATTAACTAACTTACCTAACTTCCCTAATCTAATCAAATTAGTTAAATGGGTCTTATATAAGGACAGGAGGAGTATATCAAAATTGCGGTGACAAGGGCGTACACAGTAACTTTCAGCGATGAATTTTATAGTCGTGGGAGTCCTCGGCCAAAGGCTAAAGAATGAAATCTTTTGCGCCAACGATCTTTCAACATCTCGAAAGTCCGTGTTACTTTTTCACTCCTCGGATTTTTCTTGGGATGGTTCTTCTGGGCTTTTAGCCTTCCTGGCTTTGCTTTCTTTGATTCTTTCACGGCGCCCGCTGCTGCTACTCCACTTTCAGCTTTATTCATCCGGATCTTCCAATGGATCCTCCGTCACCCATGGAAGGCCACGTGGTGGTCATGCCCTACCCAGGCCGAGGCCACATCAACCCCTTGATGCATCTCTGCAACATCCTCTTGTCCAAGAACAGCCACATCCTCTTCACCTTCGTCGTCACCGAAGAATGGCACGGCTTCATTGGATCCGACCCGATGCCCCGCAACATCCGGCTCAGGACCATACCCAATGTCATCCCCTCCGAGCGCGGTCGTGGAAACGACATGGTCGCCTTCCTTGACGCTGTCATGACCAAGATGGAGGCTCCGTTTGAACACCTACTGGATCGGCTCCACCCACCGCCGACGTGCATCGTACACGACAGCTACTTGTTCTGGGTGGTCGGCGTCGGCATCCGCAGGAATATTCCAGTAGCGTCTTTTTTCCCCATGTCGGCGTCGTTCTTCTCCGTCATCTGCCATTATCGTCTTTTCGAGCAAAACGGACACTACCCTGTCAATTTGTCGGGTAAGAATCCTATTCTACGTGATCTCGCATAAACCTCATCTACGTGAAATTCAAACTGTTTTTCAGGGTTAAATATGTATTTTCCTCCTTTGTGTTAATTTTTTTTTTTAAAAAAATCACTTCATCTGTTCTTCCCTTATATTCTTGCTGAGTATCACTGCCTTTTTATTACATTGTCGACCTACTTAAAATTTTACATTGGTTTGACTCCTTGGAGTTCTCACATTCCAAGTATTTTAGTAAACCAGACCCGTACGTTACATGGAATTTGGAAAATGATGGCCAGTGTAAGAGTAAGTCGATACTGATAGTTAGATAAATTATTACTTTCGGTCCTAATTATAAGAACTAGTTAACTACTTTGAGGAAATTAAAAAAGTAAGTTGAGTTAGTTATTGTTTTTAAATAGGTGTTGTTTTCTTAAAATATCTTTACTAATCAAGTGTATTGACTAGAAAACTAAAAAGGCTATTTAAAAAAAAAAATATAAATATAAGAAACAAAGTAGATTAAGGTCTATATTTAATTACTAAAATAAAAATTAAAAAAATCTCATATTAAAGACCGATGATTGTATTTTGATTCGAATTGGCAAGCTAAGTGACTGGAACAGAGCTAGACACAGCAACTGGCAGAACTACGACATTATTCGTTTCATATTATCTTTTGTAAAGCGCCAAAGGCCACCCTTTCCTTGAGACCACGTCCACATTTGGAGAATATTAATTAACTATTTGCCTGCTCTAAACAGAAAATGGCGATGAACGTGTGGATTACATTCCAGGGCTTTCCTCAACACGTTTGGCGGATTTTCCACTCAATGATGGCAGTTGGCAAAGCCGGAAAATGTTGCACTGGGTTCATAAAGTCGCTCAATGGGCGCTCAAAGCTCAGTATCTGCTGTTCCCTTCTATTCTCGAGCTTGAATCTCAGGTCATCCATGCCCTAAAAGCAGTTTCTTCGATCCCAATTTACACCATTGGCCCCGTTATACCTTATCTCACTCTTAAACACAATCCCTCTTCAAGCATCGCCAACCATGATAGTGACCACAGCTACATCAAGTGGCTGGACAGCCAACCCTCTGGTTCTGTCCTGTACATCTCTCAGGGCAGCTTTCTCTCTGCCTCAACGGCTCAGCTTGAAGAAATCGTTGCTGGTTTGCGAGCTAGTGGGGTTCGATTCCTGTGGATAGCGCGAGAAGAGAGTTTGAAGTTGAATGAGACTTGTGGGGATCTGGGTTTGGTATTGCCATGGTGCGACCAATTGAGAGTACTGTCGCATCCTGCGATAGGAGGGTTCTGGAGTCATTGTGGGTGGAATTCTACAAGAGAAGGTGCCTCGTCGGGGGTGTTCCTTTTCTTGCTTTCC